TTTTTTAGTTGTTTTTCCTGTTTTTGGTGTTTGGGCGTGTAGGGCCACGTGTCCGAGGCCCAGTGCGCCAATTTTGTTTTTCGGAATTCAACGGGACACCCCCGTTTTTCCGTTAAACAGGATTCAACGGGGGTCCTCAGGCCCGTTCAATGGGTTGAACGACGTTTATTTTCGTTCGTTGTCCGTTCATCGGACACACAGCGAATCGTTGATACCTCCTGGACTAATATTCAACGCACATTTCTAACATATGACACCACAACCTCACCACATTTATGCATTACCACTCAGACCAAACACACCTCCCAAATCTGATCATAAAATTCAATAAAAAACAATTACAAAACTAAAAAGCATAGCTTAGTAGAATTTAGCAACCATGGTATGACTAACCATGACACACCTTGACAATTCAACGTCGTTGTCATAAGTTAGCTCAAAGCTTAAATAGCAGATTTACTTTCTAAAATAGGCTGTAAATAAATTGTAAATTACTTTGTGCAATCAGTCTGAATGTTATCCTTAACACATATGAAAAACTGTTCAAGCCTGACTACCCAAAAGTGCTTCTACTGTTATGATAAGTGCATTCGAACTTGAATCTGTAACCAAAAAGTGTAACTCATTAGAATTTAGCAACCATAATTGACTAACCATGACACGCTTTGGGAATTCAACGCTGTTGTGATATTTCAACTCAAAGCATGAACAAAAAATTTTCTCCTTAAAATCGACTATATATAAATTGTAAATAAGGCTTAACATACTTTGTACAATCAGTCTATAAACGACTATTCAACCATCGGTATTTCCTAAGTCATGCCCGTTACCTACTTTCTTTTCTAACACAAGGACTTGCCCGTTGTAGCCATCCACACTCCGAAATTCAAGATTATTTTTTTAATTCTTTTTTTTCTTGTGGTTGCAAGGACGCCCATATTTGGCAGCAATAGTCTTTCCCACTCCCCTTCTTTTGACATGTAATGATCATCTATCAAAGCATTATTTTTTTCCTCCTTCCAGTTCTCGCACTCTTTTCCTCTTTTTTTTTTTTTTTTTCATTCCTCCTGTTGCTCACCACCTTTTCCGGGCTTTTCAAATTGTTCCTCATCTCTGACTAGCCGTCATTAAAGACACTGGGCCGAATTCCCAACGTGTGTTTCTCCCAACAAATAGATCAGAGTTTTGAAAAGAAACAAAACAAAACGAGGACTTTTGTCTTCTTTCAAATATAATGTATGCTATATTTGCGCCAACTTCCCCTCTAGATACAACTTTATATATGTTGATTGAAATTTACACAACATGCCCCGACCTTCAGAACAAACAAATTTATCAAACATTGCAAAAAATACCAGACCATGGTAACTGCAATGACCTGCAGAAATTACAAGAATATCCTACTCTGAATATGCCTTCCCCGACCTTCAGAACAGACAAATTTATCAAACATTGCAAAAAATACCAGACCATGGTAACTGCAATCACTTGTAGAAATTGCAAAAATGTCCTACTCTGAATATGCCTTCCCCCAAATCAATTTCTTAGTCAATTTTCTGCTCTGGCTGCGCCACCGCGCATCGCGCGGTCTATAGTCCCTCTTCCCAACCAATGGCAGGTCCTGCCAGCAGCTATCAATTTCTGCAACGCCCGAATCTGGACGTGTTTGTGGCCCTGTGCGCATTAAGTTTTTCCAACCGTACATCTCCACAAATCCGTCCAGATTCAGCCGTTGAGGAAACTCAATGTTGCTCCTGGTAGGCGGGGTTGGCCCCAGTTTGACAGTGTTGCAGTACCGCTTCGCGCCACTCCTCATAAAAAATAAGCGACTTTGCTGACGCATTTCTACCGCTAAAACATCACCACATCCGCTCGCACCACTGAGCTCAGTTGGTATACCCACGAACTGTTGAAATGACAGACCCAAGTTGCAACACAACATCTGCATTCAGATGAAGAGAGTAGAATAATTCTGAATTACCTGCTGATGTTCCCAGGGGGGGGGACCACCACCTGAGGGGAGGAGAGACAGTTAACGGGGGTCCAAATATTCGCGTTTGCGCATTGAGTTTTCCCAACCGTACATCTCCGCAAATCCGTCCAGATTCATCCGTTGAGGAAACTTAATGCTGGTACCGGTAGGCGGGGTTGGCACCAGTTTGACAGTGCTGCAGTACCACTTCGCACCACTCCTCACAAAAAATGAGCGACTTTGCTGACGCATCTCTACCGCTAAAACGTCGCCACATCCGCTCGCACCACACCCGCTCGCACCACCGAGAGGGGAGGAACAGGGATTGGTCCTGTTGGCATGGTCCCTGATGCTACCGGCTGTCCCCTAGCCGGTATTGCCCACCCGCAGGTCGGGAGCAGCCCCCACTTGTCCTGTCGTGAACACGGTTCTGGCTGCTACGGGGTTCCCCGTATGCCTACAATTAGGAGTAGYGGTAGGTAGGTAGTGTGAGGTGAAATTGAGAGAAGGAGAAAGGGAGGCGCAACTACTGGCAGGTCTCGGTCTTTGTGTTAGCCAGACCCTCACTGGCGGCCCCAACCCTATACCCTAAACATTGGGGGCAAGGGGCAACATGAAATCTGCAGGGGTCCCCTCTAGATAGCCTTAGGAGTAGGTAGTGAAAGGCAAGAACAGAAGTTGAGAGAAGAATATAGAAAAAAAAAAAAAAAAAAAAAAAAAAAAAAAAAAAAAA